CCCCCGTGGGTCCCATTAATTTGCTGGAGCAGTTCACAGAAACTTACCAGTTTCAGGAAGACAGTCGCTGGGTAAGCTGTCGGCCGTCACTCTTGAATTAGAAAATACTGCTGTTAGAAAACTGCTCAGGGAATCTACACTCAGGTTCTTTTCAGGATTTTTGTTTTGGAGGCTTTCAAACATACACAAGTATGAAGAAAATAACAGTGAGCCACTGTAGCTGCCGCCTTCCACAGTGGTCTGCATTGTGCCAGCCTGGTTTCGCCTACCTTTGCCCCTGTGTTTTTATGTCAGAACATTTGGGAACATCCAAGACACCTATCATTTCACCTAAAGTAATTCATTTGCATCTCTGACAATATTGTATTAGATTTTGTGTAGTCACCGTATAGTTACAAAGCTAAGAAGGTTACTCTTTGTTCTGTATCTTGCAGTTACATTAAGTTTTTCTCACGTGTTGAAAGCCAAATGCAGTTCTGATGCAGTGCGATGGGAGATTGCCCAGCGCGGGGCCAGCTGTGCCAGAGGACTGCCCCTCGGCCCAGGGCAGTCGTACCGGCAGGGCCATGGCAGCCAGGCTGCCACCACGGCCAGCGCAGCTTCCGGGCGGAGAGCCGGTGCCCTGGCCGCGCTGGTCGGGAAGTGTCTTAGCGTCACCCCTGCCAGTGTGACAGCACAAGGGACATGATTTCAGTCATCTCCCCGTGCCTGTAGCCCACATGCCATGTTTAACTTGGACAGGTGCGTCTCTGGAAGGCAGGCTACCAAGTACGAGGCGGGCGAGCCCCATTGAACACCTGCAGTCACCTCGGTGAGCTCCTCGCGGGAGGACGGTGTCCTTACACCTCCGGGGACAAAGAAAAACAAGCCTGTTCTCTCTCAGCTCCTTTCTCTCACTTCTCGATGTGTGTAAATTTTCTTTTGAAGAAAACTAGCATGAAGAAAACAAACTTGCTGAATTTTACATCTCCAAATAGCGTGGAAGGACCTACTACAGATGAGAGTAAAATGCTGGTTTCTCTATGTTGGGTGGGGAGCCCGCAAGTCATTTTACGTTGACTAGGAGATTTTGTAATGTGGTTAACTCGGGGTAAGTCTACTGTATCTTCCCTTTTCCAGAAAAGTCCTCATAGTGCTTTCTGTGGCCAAAAATTACATCGCATCCCTTCACACTAGGCCCATTTTGGGGGGGAATGGTGCTTGGCATTTCTCTGGATGCCCCTTGCTTTCCATGGCCTCTGCCTTCAGCCGGGCCCTGTGTCCCCCTCGCCTGGGGTGCACCTGCTGCTCTAAGTGTAGGGGGCCGGGGGACATTCCTGCTGGGAGCTGCACCCTCCACCCTGCACCTACACAAACGCTCTGCTCCTGTCCCAGCTGACCCTTCTTTTGGCCTTGATCACATTGATCCATACATTGTCCTTACTTGTCCTCTCTGGGCTAAGACCTCCCTAGGACAGGGCTGCCTTCTGTGTGCCCCATGCCTAGCACATAACAGGGACTCCAGTGCTCGTGGGAAGGACAGGTGTGAGTCAGTTGTGTCCCCAAGTCTTTCTAAAGTAGCTGATATCCAGCCTACTCACTCCAGGATCCCTTTTGGCCAAATCCCCCAAAGGTGGCCTATGATCCTGCTCAATCCCCTCCTCTCTGGGAAGGAGCTTCGTAACATCTGGGTGAGCTCACCAAGTCAGCGAAACAGGAGACCCCAGCCTCTGTCTCCCCACAAAGATCAACAATAGGACAGCTCTCCAGAAACAAAAACATCTGGGAGAGCTCAGGGGTCCACTGAAACTTCAGTAGCACAAAGCACCTGAGAAGAATGACAGAAAGGGAAGGAAGAACAGCTTCATTGTGCCTGCACCGCCCGGCCCCCCATGTCCCTCAGGTCGGCCCTGCTGACGTGACACCAAGAGGGAACCCCCAGCTAGAAAGACCCGCTCACTGGGAAACGAGAGGGGCGAGCGACCAGCTTCCCAGCCTTTCCAGGCACCACATGGACCTGCTTCAGTTTCACCCCAGCCAGAGACCAAAGCTGAGACTACGGAGATGGCCAGGAACAAAGAAGGGAGGAGGTATCGCCACGCAGTGGGAGCCACCGTGGTTGCCAGTAACCTGCTCTGCGGAGCCCCGGCAGTGTTCCCCACTGAAGGAGTCAATGGCCAGCACCTGCTACGGACCCGCTGCAGATCTCACCAGGGACACTCCCCTCTGCAGACACCAGCCACCTGCAGCCCTCCCCACGCCCTCCCCCTGCCCCCACCTGAGCCCTGGATCTGCACTGGCAGCCGGCCCAGGCCTCTGCAGCTACAAGAGTGCAAGATGCCAGCCTAGGCCCCACGGCTGCCCCCCCTGCCACAGGCACCCTTGTGGCTACACCTTCCAGCTACGCACTTGCAGGCTGCCAGCCTGACATCACTGGCCTACCCTGCAGTCATGGGTGTGCACACGGACAGCCCAGCCCCCGTGGCTGCTTGTGGGCCTGGCCCTGGCCCTATCTCCAGTCACTGGCCTGCACACTTGACTCCGTTGCACCCCCCTCCTCCTGGCTGTGCCTCTGCATGCCCCCAGCCTGACCCCCATCACCAGCCTCTGCTGTTGTGCACACGCCCTTGGGGAGACTGCAGACATGAGAGCACACCAACAGCCAGGACCCCTGTGGCTCCCGTGGGCCCGCAGCTGACCCAGGCCCCTGCTGGCTTTGTCCTGCGCCTCTACGTGTCTGCAACCAGTCCCTGCCACTACACAGGCACGCACATCTGGCCTCCAGGGCCGAGCGTGTGCTCTGGCAACCGCTGTGGCCTGCCCTGGTCCCTGGCCATGACTGGAGGCACCCCGAGGACCCCACAGTCTCGCCAAGGACCACACGGCTGGTGCTGTGGGCCTCAGTGGCCTGAACCAGTGACACGCGCCACCCCCCCCCCAAGACCTGGAA